ATATAGATAGATACAGGCAGACTGAGATAGATAGATAGATAGATAGATAGATAGATAGATAGATAGATAGATAGATAGATGCAGATAGAGATAGATAGAAATAGGCAGACTCAGATCAGATAGATAGATAGATAGATAGATAGATAGATAGATAGATAGATAGATAGATAGATAGATAGATAGATATGAACAGTCTGGGATAGCTATACAGATAAATAAAATATCTAAAAACTTGTAGCTAAAAATTCAAATGCTGCCCTCCCCACTTGGAAGATTGGTGCAACACAATCTTCCTAACCATTATCTTTCTAAGTTGACCTTGTGTTGGACTATACTAAACAAACTCAACTTTTTGGTGGCTATAATCTGATAAATAAATCAATAAATTTTTCATCTCCTTCGCAATTAAAATATAAACAATTTATAAACATAAACAATTTATAAATATATACAAAATATGAATTATTTTTTTAAGTCTGCTTCTTCCTTTTTTTCTTTGTTTTTCTTACTAATGTTCGGACAATACAAGGCCCAAGAGCCATTTAACGTAGAGGGTTACTGTGTGATGTTATATTAGTGTAGGAAAGAACAAGCCTTAGGAACATAGAGCTGTAGCAGACTTTAGAAGGAACAGAAAACAAGGGATAAATCTCTACTCCTGTTCAAAAGACTGGAGGAGTGTGAATCGGATGCTAGGTGAATCTATGTACTCCTATTATATGCCAAAATCAAAACATTTTGTATGTAATTTGTTTTGTCTGCAAGTACTAATGCATTAGTGGTACTGGTCTTACTAATTAACCTATCACTGAGAGTGGGTAAAAGAGGTTGATTCATACCTTTCCCTCCTTTAGTTATGTCCTGCCATTACCTCAGATAAATAATGGACCACTGCATTTTAATTGCAAGGAAAGATGGGAGAAAAATATATAGTAGAGATGCTGTTTGGTTTTAGTACAATAAAAAGCATACATAATAAGGGACACATTGACATGGTGTAAAAGTTAACAAGCTATTCTCACTAGAACAATTACAACTGAGTAATGAATTTGATTCTCACTGGGTGCCCCATACTTTTGGCCTTGTGCCACATCTAAGCTATCCTTAGAAAATCACCATAATAATAAGAAAGAAAGAAAAAATAAAGGAGATGATAATACACTTATGCATTTAATGTCTGCTTCCATGAGATAGAAAACCAAATAATTTCATTTGTATCTAATAAATAATGACCTACATTCATACTTAGGTTTGTTATTGCAATATTTTTTATAGTTGTAAAGCTCAAGTATTTAACAATGCAAGCACAGAATTTCCACAGATATTTTTTAATCATGGATCTTGCAAAGAACTTATTCATTCATTAAATTAGGAATTATAATTCATCAGAAAATTCAAAAGGAAGACCATAAAATATCATTGGCACTGCCAGTAAATATGAATAAAAAGCAAAAATAAAAATAATATATGATCCCTATTTTGATCCCCTTCTTCATTAGCTAGTAAGTTAGCATGTGTACTATGCCCGGCTATTGACTCAGATAAATAATAAACCTTTCTATATTGATCGCAAGAAAAGATGAAAGAAAAAGATACATCAGAGATGCTGTTTAGTTTTAGTGACAAAAAGGAAACATCCATAACAAAAAAGAAAAACCTGAAAGATAGAAGAGGCGGTAATGCTTCACTGAAATAGAAAACCTTGCCAATTTGAAACCTTTTCATTTGTACCCTCTTACTTCTTTGAATAATGACCTCTATTCATATTTATGATTGTTATTACAATAATTTGTTGTTAAACTCATATATTTCACAATGCTAGAGGGTAATCTCCACAGGTATTTTATAGTCAGTTGTTAAATTAAGAATTATAATTCATCATAAAATTCAAATAGGAAAGCCAGGAAATTTAGTACTGCTAGTATAAATAAAAGCAAAAATATCATCAATATATAGATAAAAATAAAAATGAAAATATATTTACCGTTTTCTTAACCATATGATTTCAGCTCTCAAGAAAATGTCAGCTTCTTGCAAAAATATTGTGTAAAAGACTGACTAGCAGGCAACCAGTGCTGAAATGGAATTGGAACAAAAGACAACGGCTGAAAAGAAAAACAAAAAACATGTAATTTGAGTGCAAGACAAGTAAAGAAGAAAAACGACCTTAGTATTGAAGCAGTTAATAATTATGGTCTCCGCAATTCCTTTTCTTTGTTTACTGGTGGTAAACAGAATCTTTAAAATGTCTGGCATTTATTGTAGAAGAAAGGAGTAAAAGTCTCAATGAACTCATGTTTACAGAGACTTGTAAATTCTAAACACTGGCCTGCCTCTTTGTAAAATTACATTGTTCTTTAAAAAATCTTTTGGCAAATTTGGACTTTCATGCCTGCAAAAAAACCCAAAGTGTCAAAAGGACAGTTTTTCTATTGACACCACTTTTATTTTAACCACCTTCACTCCTTGGCAGTGTTTATTGCTTTAAAAGGTGATGATTAGAATTGTAATAAAGTCTAAACATATGATGAAACTGAATTTATACATTTTTTCTTTTTGACAAATCTTTTGTAAGTCAGGACCCACCTTGCTTTGTATAAGATTAATCCTAGTCCTACCTCAACAAAAACCACATATATATATATGCATGTATGTAACTGAACCCCTCTTTTGTCCCCTATTTTCTATAAATGAAAACAAATTAATTTTAACATATATATGGTGGACTCTCTCATTGCGGATGACAAATGAAGGCTCAATAAAATAAAGAGATGTATTCATTAGATTACTTATTTACAAAAATAATAATTTTATATTTAAAACTATGTGAACCAATTCTGCTTTGTTTGGTTTGTTTTGAGTCTGTCTATATTTCTCAGATGATTATTATGTACATTATTTACATTATTTGGACTATTGTCCTCATCTTTGTCGCCATATGAGCTCTGGTAAAAAACATGCAATGATAACAGCAAAATTGCAATATGAGCACTGGTAAAAATGATTGCTGAGGACATTAGGTTTATAATACCCAGAAATACATACCCAGATGTCCTCAGGGACACATGGCACAGTGGATAAAGGTGTTGGTTAGATCCAGTGACAGGACCCAAAGATGATTGTTAGTTCAATACCTTTCAGAGGGAAATTAGCAGGAGATAACTGATAACTGACATCCATCAAACATGGTATGTGGAACTAGAACAGTCTATGCCAGTGAGCAAAATAAAGGGTTCAGTTCGAAATTCCAACCACCTGAAGAAGGCCGCTGTGTAAATGGCCAAAATGTTGTGATAAATATGGTGACAAAGATGAGGACAATAGTCTGAATAATTGGTTTGTTTTGTTTTACAGCATATCAACCACAATGGGTTATTTAATGCATATTTTCCTGCTAATATCTTGTTTTGTCAAAAATCTATTTCTGGTAATATTTTTTTTCCTCAAAAATATATAGCTGGTAATGTTATTTTCAAAAACGTATTGCTGGTAATTTTTTTTTCAAAAATATATTGCTGGTAATAATTTTTTTTCTTCAAAAATTTATTTCTGGTAATAATTTTTTACAAAGTATTTCTAGTATTAAAACCTATTCTTAAACTTTTATAATGCTTTTTACCTCAGTTTCGGGGTTAACCATAGCTGGGACCCTAACAGGTGCTACCACCCCAGGTCAGGGTGAACCTGGGAACACCAGCAATTAAAAGTTGGTTTCACACTCCTCAAAACCTCCTGATCAGGGACTTTGCTGTTGGACGTAGTTTATTGTCTTACCCTGGACACAGATGTAGTTTATTGTCATACCCAGGACAATGAACCAACTCTAATAAGATATTTATTATTTAACATTTTATAAAGAAATAAATATGAAAAGAAATTTTTTATTCATAAGTTTATACAAATGTGTTAAAGAAAATTTAAATAAACACTTAATGACAATTAACTACAGTTATAAATTTTGAAAAAATGCATTTTCCAGACATTTCTTCTCTTTAATTAAAAAGGAAATGAACATAGTCTTTCATTGAGGAAGAGAGAAAGTGGAGTTGGGAGACAAAATCAAAGGGAGTCCACTGTTGCTTTGGTAAAAAACTGGACGATGAGGTTGATTTGTGTCTCATTACTGCTGTAAGTCCTTCTGCTGGGTTGAATGGATGTCTGGTTTATATGGCTCCCAGTAACCTATGTTAATTTATTGGCAAGAGCTGATTTTACTGGCTATTCTTTATTTTTATTAATTTGAAATATGTTTGAAACTGAAGGCTGCACAGAGCCTTTGTGGGGTGTGTTTATTTTGTTATTTGATCTTTTGATTTGAAACAGTTAACTTCTGCTTACTCCCTACAATGAAATGGAACTAGTTTGATATTGGTCTATTCATAAAAAATGATGAAAATTATTAGACCTTTGGCAAGACATGACATTTGTCAGAAATTAAAATATTGATTTTTTTTTATCATTTTAGGGGGTGGACTGTTAATATTATCCATACAGTGTAAAATCGATCAGTGACATTTTACAGGGTTATCTGGACTTAGTTGTTATTTACAAATGTCATTTGAAATTGTGCTGACATCGTGAAAATACATCCGTTGTCATTGCACTAGCCAAAATGCTGCCGCATGTGCATTTTATTACATCAGCAATTGTGCGGCACATCATGTTAAATATTGTGCGTTTGTGAAATAACATATAAACTGAAATTCAAGTGTTTGAATTCAATTTTGGGGTCATGACCCATAGTTTTAAAAGCACTGAATTGGAGCAACAAAAAGAAGTTGTGCAACACCATAATCACGTATGTTCAGAATGGACATAAGGATGATACCATAAGTGATAATTATAATAATGGAAAAATTTACGAGATGACAAGTCAAAATAGTGGAGGAATTGAGGAAAACTTGAATCGCCAGGGGAGAAATTGACTGCTTTGAAAAAGAAAAAAAAAGAAAAAAATTGTCAAGGGAGATAACTTGTCTCGTCTTGGTGACGTGTTCAAAATGGCGGACTGGCGAAGCAGTCGTATTGGAAGCAGTAATGGTAAGGAAGAAGTATTTCTTATTATCAACATTAAATATAAAGACAATAATTTATTTAATCATTATTTATTATCATTATTTTTATACTATAGTTTAAATCGTGTAGAATTAAAAATATAGTGTATTTTTATAGATATTTGATTTGTCATTCATGAATTTTACTGTGTAAAAAATAAAATAAATTTTTAGTAATTATTTTTTTTTTAAATTATTCGCTTCTGATTTAATTTCATAAAAAAATGATTTTCGGTAAATTTAAGTCCCATTTTTTTTATTTGCCAACCAAAGTTAATTATTTATTAAACCAGTAATTTAAAAAAAAATTATTCGAATTTTTTTAAAAAAAAAAAAACTGAGGGGGGGGGGTAAAAAATATGGTTAAAAAAAATTATTTGACATCCGATCATGATTCAACCAGATTTGTTTAATTTCGATATTTGACAATAGAAATATTTTATTTTCTATATTTTAGGCACCTTCACACTTTTTATAAATAAATAAATAAAAGTAAAACCGATATGACAACAACAGCAACAAAAATAAAACAGCCAAAACTTTTGTAAAAATTATGTCATCGTTAATTTGAAATTAACGATAAAAAAATTAACTTAAATCTTCTGTGCCATTTTTAAAAATAAAGATTCAAGAAAAACTCGATATAAAAATTAAGTTTAATTAAAATAAAAAAAAAATAAACACGACTATATCTGTTGAGTTTATGTTTTTAAAAATATTATTTCGTCGTAAAAGAAAAGTTTTTTTGTTTTTTTTAAGGAACACAGCTTTTAAAAATCTGCTAATTATCTCAAGTTTGGATGCATAATTTATTTATGAAAATAGTACTCGTATTTTTTATTTTATTTAATTCTTCATAAAGTTCACCCTGTACAAGGCCCAGGGGCCTCTCGAGGTAGAGTGTTAAGAGCCAGTTTTATACAAATAGGAGGGGAAGATAATGGTTTGTTATGATCCAGAATGATGATGATATTTCATCATTCTAAAAACAACCTTTTCACAAGTGATGATATATAATGATGATATTTCATTGTTCTAATATCTGAAAGTTCATCATTATAAAAATGACCCTTCCACCACAAGCAGTAGGGTCAGTATAGTAGCAGTAGTAAAAAAAGAACCACACAGACGGCTCTTCTTTGCTTTGTAAAAATCTACAGTTGACATTCTCAAATGCTACCCTTAACAACAACATTCTCGGAACAAACAAAAACAAGAAGTAAGCACAAACTTTTAAAGAAACAAAAGAGACACTAACACAGAACATTTTTTTCATACACACAGTACCGGTATTGTAATTTACATCACGAAAAGAAAAATATGCATTCTTGTCATTAATTTCAACACGTGTTTCAAAGTCGTTTTTTACTGTTGTACGTTTTATTCATTTCATTTTCAGTATAAAAAATAGAGAAAAGGAATCCTCTATCAACTACAAATATGTATAACAACAGGGTAACTTACATTACCCAAACCCACATCTGACCCCATTACAAATTAAGATTGTAGTGAACGGGGAAACATCCTCTTCATCAGAGTTGGTTCCATAGAGCAATAGTTTGCGGGAGGAAGCTGTTTGAGTGTAACTTATTTCTCACCCCAATGGAATACGGAGGGAATGTAGATGGTTTACTACAATGTAAGTAGTATGGTGGGTCCTAGCCCTGAATGTTAGAACTGGCAGAACCAAGGAATGTAGTTTGTCCGATCATTTACCATAGAAGTAGCAATAGAGAAACAAGAGGTTTGCCATATCCTGCTTATGAGAAAGACGTTGGAAGTGGGAAGATAATTCATCACCCACAAGAACTCAGAAACACTTTTGGATCCTATCAAGGCTGGAGAGTGATGTCCGGGCAGCTCCCATCCAAATATGACAACAGTACTCTGTTTTTGGCCTAATCTGGTTCTTGTAAATGTAGAGGATAGCACATGGAGTCAGGTACTTACTAGAGTGATACAGGCTTGTATATATGAGTTCCACTTGAGGTTTTAGTTTAAGGCCCAACAGCCTGTCATTTTGAATCTAGAAAATGACAACAGAACTAACATCTTAGAATTAGAACTTCAAATAAAAATTATTTAAATTATTATGTTTTAAAATTTATTTAAAAAACAAAAAAGCCTTGGAGATACAAATGCTTTTCAGGCTCTGAAAGATGCGAACTGGGCTACACAGCAAGGAAGAAAAAAAATAAAAAACAGGAAACTAGAGAAAAATGTCCCATTCTCTCCCTCCCAAAATAAATTTTAGGTATCTGTTTATTTTGTCAGATAATAAGAGTCCTTTGGTGATGAGACTGGAGTGACCTTTCTAGGAGGCAGAGATCAGTGATGGTATATGGAGGTCATGTCCTGCCCATACCACATGCTCCCCTCCTTTCTGTCATACCAACAACATCCAAATGAATACAGGGAATTAAATTTGGTGACAGCTTGACTGCAGGAGTTGTCATAGGTTTTTCAGTGCTGACAGTCAATCATCTTTAGGGCTACACTCTGGATTTTCTTTCATAGACTTTTCCTTGTTTGAATATAGTCCCAAGGCAACAGAGGTTTAAAATCAGTGCTTTCCTTCCCCTCGAGGGATTGCTTTCCTGGATTGACAATCTCCATCTACCTGAAGTGGCTGGTTATGAGGCCCAGAGGTTTGCCTTCACCCTTTTTCCAGCTTGGAACTGGACTTATTTGTCAGAGGCTATTTGAGTTGTGATAACAACAACAAAGATGAGTGAATAATGTAAATATTGAAATATAAAATCATCTTGCTTTTGACCAAAGAAACATATAAAAACAGAGAGAATATTTCAAAAGACAGATTATGGAATTGTCCAGGTTGGATTTTGTGAATATCATACATGACACTAGTTGGGTGTGGCCTTATTCAATTCTGGACACCAAGCCCAATATATTTCAGATTTTTTACAGCACAAAAACCTTATAGTCTAATACAAGTGTGTGTGGTGGGGTGGTTGGGATCAAACCGTGGCTTGCAAGACACATGTGGCTCTTTGACCTTTAATATGTGGAAACTCCTTTTTTTTAAAAAAGAAAGCTGAACTTTTTTTGTCACAGTTAATATAAAAGGTAAATAAAAAAAAAATCTCAAGATTTTATTTACTTGATATGAATTGAGACCACACTGGATTAAAACAGAAGTTTAATGTTCATGGTTAGTAAAAATATTAAAGAATTTTTTAGTCCTAATTTTAATTCTAGATCTTAGTGAGACATTAGTTCATTAGTGCTGAGGGAAGGAATGGTGGCAGGCAGAGGGATTAAAGAAATTAGCAAGGGTTACAGAGGAATGTCAGAAGACTGAGGTCATGGCTAAGGAGGATTAAAGATTTGGGTGCACCAAGGAAGTGAGAGTGGTCACATGTATATGTAACTAAAACATATGTGTAAATTTTGTTCATGTCTTGCAGCTCTCAAATATCTGAACGTTATCATATGTGACTCTTTCATTAAGCATGTTTGGCCACCCCTGGTCTAATATATTAGACTTGGCAGGCATCATGCATAAATGGGTTAATAAGCAAAGTCAGTGGAGTGAGACGGGAAATAAGAATGTCCTGGCTGGAAATATTTAAATAAATGAATTGCCAGCAGGGGTTGAGAGGAAATGGCTGAAAAGAGGGTCACGGAAAATATTGGATTGGAGAATTTGAACAACAGGAATAAATGACCCTAATCTTGCAGAAAAATGTCTTTGGTGAATTAAAGTAAGAAAGAATAAGATATCTCCTCATTCTCTCACTTGTTCCTTCAGGACATTGCTGATCACGGCTCTCCACACTTTCCTCTCTTGTTGCTCCCAGTAACTTATGATTCTTTACCATCCTTCTTCATCTATCTTCTGTCATCCATTAACTTCTATTTTTATTTAACTTATTTATTCAGGACATAGGTGATCATGGTTCTCCACTGTTTTCTCTCTTTTGTTGCTCTTTTGACTCTTTACTGTCCATCTTTGTTTTTGTTCTGTCACTTTTTTGATGTGACATGTTCCTTCAGGACATGGCTGATCACGGCTCTCCACTGTTTCCTCTCTATTGTTGCTCGAGTTAATTCTTTATAACTCCTCCTTGTCTTTGTGGTACTTTACTCAAACTTAAGTTATCTTCCTTTTTCCTGGCAAATGTACATTCTGTCTTTTTAGAATTAATGGTTCATCTTTTGCTTTCGATAACTGACTAATCATATAATTCTTTCAAGATATCAGCTTAGAATATAGAAATAAAATAAATATTTGTCTCATCCAATATTGAAATGAACCATATTTTTGTGGTTGAATATAAATTTTACCAACTTTCAATGCATAGTATGGGATGCATAAGTCCTGGGTATGATGATAAACTACATCTAGCAGCAAGGCTTCTGATTAGAAGATTTGTGGTTTTGAGGAACATGGTACCACCTCTTAATTGCTGTTGTCCACAGGTCCAACCTGACCCTGGGTGATAGCACCTGTTAGGATTCCAACTATGAACAAATAGTGAACCCTGTCAAACAAAACACTATGAAACTATAAAAATACCAGCAATACATTTTTATATAAAAAAATTACCAACAATACATAGTAAAATGGCCAACAATACATTTTATCTGTAATTGAAGCCATACAATTGCATTCGAAATATTTAGATTTCAGCATTAAATAACCTATAGAGATGTTGATATGCCACCAAACAAAATCAACCAATATGAAAGAACTCTTTCATGACATTGATCCATATAATATCCTAGAATTTCTTAAATCAAACTGTATTCTAAAATATGACTTCAACAAAACTGCAACATAAAACTTGCATATTACTGCCTTTGGTAATCATGTCCACACAAATATTTATAAATAAATATTTATATGCATAAAAGTTGAGTATTATCTACCATGCATTCAATTGTGAAAGCAGAATAACATGTATCATATTTCTATTACTTCAAAGCTCTCCCCAAAATTAAATTTTGGCATTAAATGACCCAAAGAAGTTGATGTGCTGTTAAACAAACAATCACTCAATCATGTGATGTGTGACAGGAAATACCAAAAATGTGAACTGAATTTAATGTTCATCAAGAAAATTTTTGTTCAAAGAAGAGTTGATGTGTGGTGACCCAAATATGTACTAGGTTCATCCTAAGAGATACCAAAGCAAGTTTTGTGCTTGGTGTCACCTCAGAAATTCAAGAGTCCTAGGTGCCACTATAGCTACCAAGTGCAGTATGGGGCTCAGTGGATGTTAGGTGTGGGGTGTACCAACATAAACAGAGCTGAACTTAGAATATATATATGTATATATGTGTGTATATATATATATATATATATATATATATATATATATATATATATATACACACACACATACAATGAAATGATAGATAGTTATATAAATGACCAACCATTGAAGGGTGAATGAAGGCAAAATCCCTCACAAGAAGATCAAATGTTCAAAGAAAGACTTGAAACCACATACCACTCGATTTGTCCAGTATTCATTTGATATTATCCAGAATTTAATAATTATTTTACATATGAAAAATTTAGTCTCATTTTCTTATTAGACCTTAGCAACATAACATTGTGTGTTCCACATATTCATTACACAGTTCAACATTGATAGAGTCCAGAAATAAATAAACAATTATTTTACATATAAAAAATTTAGTCTCATGTTCTTATCAGATGTTGCTAATACAATAGGAATGTATAGGTTTGCCTATCATCTGACCCCCCCCCCCAATCATCACCACTAGCCTTGTGAAAAGGTGTAGAGGTTTATCTCTTGTTTCTAGTTTAGGATTGGGTTTCAGGTTCTTTCTAAAGTCTACTTCAACTTTATACTTCGAACATCTCTGTTTAAACTCTGAAATTTTATTTACTATTTATTTTTCCGCAATAACAGTAGATTGGTTCACCTATCATCCAGTTCACACTCCTTCCCAGTCTTTTGAACAGGAGTAGAGATTTATCCCTTGTTTTCTGTTTAGGATTAGGTTTCTGGTTCCTTCTAAAATCTTTGAAATGATTAATAATAATAATGAATTTACTACTGTTCTATTTTTTACCTACCCTCAAACAAAGTGAATGTCAAACAAAAGTAAACTTATCAATTGCATCTCTGCTTTTATCCACTGGTCTCCCAAGGACAAATGACCAAGTAGATAAAAGCATTGGTTGATGATCCAATGCTTGTATCCACTGGGCCATTTGTCTTTTGGGGGCCAGTGGATAAAAGTGTTGGTTGAAGTAATCCAGTGACTTGACCCAAAGAGTTGTGAGTTCAGTACCTAACCACAGTAGAGGAAAGTTGAGTTACTAAAGGGAATTAACTGAAACTGTGATATCCAGAAAAAAGGCATGGCACGTGGAACTAGAACAATCTACTTCTGTGGACTAAATAAAGGGTTCGGTTCGAAATTCAAAGGCCAGAGCGTGCATATGGCCGAAATGTCATGAATATGACAATAAAGATGAGCACAACAGTCTGAACAATGTAGATAGTATAAAGAAGTAATTTAAGTATGGAAGCTAGTACTTGGAGATACTTAAGGCCATCAATATCATGAATTAGTTTACAAATTGATTGTATCAATGTATTTTTTTCCCTTCCATTTAGCCTAAAATTTTCTCTCATATCCATGAGTCAGACACTTGGATATGTAAATTAGTGTTTCTGTTGAGGAGATAGGAACTACTACTACTTTTATGTACCATGTACTTTCAGGATGTAAATGATCATAGCTCTCCACAACTTCCTATCCTTTATATTCTGCCATCCATTTATATAAGCTCATTAGATTTCCTCTGCTCTTCTTGTCTCCAATATTTCTTGTGAGTATCAAATTCTGCAAGCCTTCCTATCATGTTAGCTGAAGTAAAAAGAACTGCCAGTGAATAGATGAATCAGTTGCGATGACAGACACTTTGATTCCGTTTTTCAGCTAATCTATGGTGGTATTACGTGCAGTGAATATATATGTGTCTCTGTCGCATGCTATTGCGCCTTCTGTTCATTGTGTTTATTGTCACCCCATGTTGCAAATCTCAAATATTTACAAAGATTAACAGAAATGTCAGTAAATATATTTATTATTTGGTCAGCCTCATGGCTGAGAGAGTTGAATATTTTCCAATGGTGTGAAGGATCAGTTTTCAAGCTCAATTAACAAAAGCTTAAATGGTATTTTTCAATCTACTTTCTATCCACCTGATGCTTACAGCCATATCACGTTGAAACATCGGTTCTTGTATGATCACTAAAGTTAAGTAACATTGAGCCTGGTCAGTACCTAGATGGGTGATAACTGAGGAATACTAGGTGCTGTAAGTTTAGATATGCAGATGGTGCAATGAATAATGGCTTGGAATTGTTAATTGGAGATCTGAGTTCAAATTCCAGTTGGGTTTGTTATATTCACTTATGCACGAATATCCTTGGAAAGATATGAATCCACCTTTTCTACTCACCTCAGCTATGGGTTAATTATTAAGATTGTATCACTAAATCATTATATAATATTATAATATCTTACAAAATTTCTGGCTTTAAATAACCTAGATAAGCCGTAGAAAACGAATCAATCAATCAATATCCAGTTGATGCAATACAATCTCCTTACTACTCCTTACTAGAATTGGCCTTGTGTTAAGAGAAGCCTTTAAATACTGAGAAATTAAGAAAATATATATTTCAACTTTCCCTTGAAAAGTATTTTTTCTGAATTATTATATAATTTACTATTTGGATCAGCTTGCTCAGCAATACAAGGTGCTTACAAAAAGTATCTGACTTTATTTTTTTCCTGCCAAAACTAATGTTGCATGGACAAAATCATTTTGGTGAGAGGTGACACCAATCTTCCTGCACATGTGTGAAAATTCCGAGGAGTTCATTTGCCCTTTAACAGCTCTTGTTGTTTTGTTCTGCTGGGGTTTCACTTACCAGGGACTGGTGTGTGAGACAGTTTAGTTGCTGACCACACAGGTTTTGAATTCAGAGTTGTCCTAGATTGGTTGCCACCCAAATCTATAGGACTCAGTCTGTCTTGCTATTTACCTATACACGGATTCATGCCTTTTCCAAGGAGATATTTGCACGAAAATGAATGTAAGGAACTCAACTGGAATTAAAACTCAGCTCTCCAATTCCTCAATCTGATCCACTATCTTTTACTCCACCTCCCCCTCCACATACACTACAGTTCAAAAGTCTGAGGCCACTCCTCATAATTTTTTAAATTGTCCAAAAAAGTAGTTGTTTTGTACTCTAAATCAGAGAAAATTATTATACATGGTTAATAAAAATGATGATTTTTTTTATTAGAAATTTTATTATGACAAAAAGAAAAAAAACATTTTATGATTAAATTTTGCTCTCATCAAAATATCCTCTTTTAGCCTTCATTACTGCAGCACAAATTTTTGACATTCATTGTAAAAGTTTCTCAAAGTATAAGTTTGATTATTGATTCCATTCTTTTTTCAATGATTCTTTTTCATTTTTTTTTTTTTTTGTTTTGTTCACCCTTCTGTCTTCATCCCATGCTAATTCTGTGGGTGGCTTCAAACTTTTGAACTGTAATATAGGTGAAGTACAACTATAAAAACAAAAATCATTATCTTAGTTCATTCCTTAATGTTTAGGTCAGGTGTTCAAACTGAGTAACTTGAAAGGTCATCCACACATCATACTCATTATAATAGTGTCTATTGAATACCACAAGGGAATTGGCTGCAAGTACAACAAATAAAATGAATTTTTATGAATAAAAATGACAATAGGAAAACTGGTAATTGCTGACACGTTTCGTCAAATGTGGACTTTATCAAAGCAAAATATTTTTTTTATTCATAAATATTGTCTTCTCTACTGGTTAAATCGGAGAAATTTACAAATAAATGAATGTAGATTTTTAGCTAAGTAATTATATTAATTTACTTAAGTTAATTCACTGGATATCTGTTTCCTTTTTCATGCTATTATAGAAAGAAGAGTAACATTATTCATTCTTTTTTTTTTTTACAACCGACTGAAAACTTTCTTCTTATCTTTATAATCCAAATTGAGACATTTTTTTGGTGCAAAAGTTCTACACAAATTATGAGTTTTATTTTTCAAGAATTTTATTTTTCATTGTTCCTATCTGTGTTTCTTTTCTTTCTTTTTTTTTTAATCTATACTTCCTGCAATGTGTCATTGAAATTTCTCTTTATTGATCCTATTCAAAGTTTGGTTTAGATTGGTCTAGTCATCTATTTCACACAAAAGGTACCATAACATCTGGTAAACAAAATGGATGCTTTTTTTTTTTTTTTTGTCATTTCTCCCCAGGCAAGGCAATAAAGTCATTAAGATGCCAGGGGTTACTGAACATTAGAGAGTATGAGGGAATAATAAAAAAAACATTATTAATGAGAGAGAACAATAAAAGAACAAGAATTAAGAAGACAGAAGATAATGATTGACATTATATTTAAATTTTTGAAGATCAAAGTTTACTGGGAAGTGAGAAGTGCAATAGAAGAAACTGTTAGCATAGAACTTACGGTTACATCTCTTGCCATTTCAACCATAAAATGATGAGACCATGCTACCCATCTAGTACTGAACTTAAATTCATAAAGTCTGGGCACCGTAGAGGAAAGTTCATTGGAACAATTACCATGAAAGTATTTATAGAAAAGTCTCAGGAAAGCTACGTTACAGTGGTGGGAAAGGAATTGAAACTGAGATGCCGGGTCAAGGTCAATAACATTGCAGATTCTTCTTTGGATTTTATCAAGAATCTCTAAATGTATAGCAGGAGCACCAGACCAGATATGTGGCAGCAATATTCAAAGCATGGATGGATAAAAAATAAATAAAAACTAAGAACACAGAATCAAATCAGAAAGTGTCTTGATTTTGGCATGAAATTATTTTATGGATGCAATTTTTTCAAATTTTGGTAAGTTGGAATCAAATATGGATTGGAATCCCTCAGAATGATAAAATAAAAGAACAAATAAGAAATGTTTATTAGTCTAACATGTTTCCCTTTTATTAAAGCTTCATTACAGAATTAGATATGAAGTAAATTTAGAAAGAAATTCTTGTATTTTTTACTTTTGTGTTGTTCGATTTTTATTGGTTAGTCATGTTTCACATGCGTTTAACTTTTTAAGCCAACATTAAAGGAACATTAATATAATTTGTGGCAAGGAAAGAAAATATGTCCATCCAAAGTTTCAAGAAATTAACAGATTCCAAGCTTGCCTGAAAAACCTTAAATATTGCTTTATGTATGTCAGTGTATAAAAATTCTAGTTTGTCTATGTGGGATTCAGATGATAATGTGTATTCATGAGTGTGTGTATGTCACATAGACATTATATTTGTTGCTTTTTTGCATGTTGATTTGGGAGCAATTTTATGTATATACTATTTGTTTTAGATAAACATACATTAGATTCTTTAAGAACAATTCGCTAATTAATACAAAAAAGAATAGAGAGGTGGCCAAACTTTTTTATCATTATTTTATTATTCTGGTCATATCAAAAAAGATATCTTTCTATATAAAGACATCCTGTTTTTATATTGATACTAAATTTGTTCCAGTAAAACTTATTTTTAGTCTATGCTATTATTAAAAGTGATGTGTGTGTTTTAGAAAAGTATTTAAAGAAATCATAATGATTAAAACTGGAAAAGTAAGGAGTCGGGGAGGTACAATGTCAAAACTGTTTAAGTAACAAATAGCAGGTGATTGGCAGAAATTAAATGCAATCCAGCTGTTAGTAGAAAGGAGGAGTGGGTGTCTAAAATCCAGATTCATAGTTGATTAAATATTATGTGAGGTGAAAGGCAGCCATATCCACACATCTGAAAACAATCTTACACTTTACAAATATAACAGGGGTGGCTACATCTATATACCTATGAAGTATTTTTTTTTTTTTTTTGCTTTTTTGTTATCCCCAAAGTTATTCAGTCTCATATTTTCATTCTTGCTATTTTTATTAGTCTTTCAGTTTCAATCTTTTTCAAGGATAGAAGTCATACAATTGTGTGTGTGTGTCCTTCCTTCCTTTTTTTTTTTTTTTTATTCCTTCCTAGAAATTCCTACATTAGAGTGTGAGGATCTTGCAAACAGCAACAGTATTAATTTTCCTTTCCAGCAATGGGACCCAAGATGTGAGAACATTGAAAATTGATATTGCATAAAGTCCCTTGTTAATGTGAGCTTTCTAAAATATACTTGATTTTCTCTTGACCACAGACATCATGGTGTACGCTTGACTCTCTCCTTTATGTTATGAAGAGTGGCTGCCTGGGAGAAGTGTCCCCATTCACTATGTAAATATCATATTTAGAAATTTTCTTTGCCTGAAGATGATAACTTATTAGTTAGCCCCAAATAAATTTAAACTTTGTGTCATTTTTGGAAAAGGACAAGGGATTAGACTCCTGAGAGGCAACCAGTAATGTGTTGTGAAGTGTTAAAAAAAAAAAAAATGCACAGCTTGGCATCATAGGTGCTCCTGATCTGTTTCCCAATGTCTTTCTAGACATCTTGCCTCTAGGTCAAAGCTGATGGAGATAAGAGAAGAATATGGCATGTCACACAGAGCTCTCTGGTCATCCACTGCATCAGAGTTTTTCTCCAGTCATCTTAATGATGGGCTACCTCTGGATCCAGGGACGAGAGAGTGAAGATACTCAACCTGTATTAATATTGCTTCATTTAAGAAATCTGCAGACCTAACTATCACTGCAGATGCCATTACCAATTCCACAGCTCTCTTACATCATCTAGAAAATCCTGCTAACGATGTTGAACTCAATGTCTCTAAAGCTGAATTATAAGCTTCAACCAGCAAGATTCCATACAAACTGTCTCAGGTGAATCAATAAAATCTGTCAAATCTTTTATGTACTTAGGAAGCGAAATAAATTCTACTGAAAATGGATGTGAAAATTCGCATAGCTAAAGCCTGAGCCACTTTGAATAAAATGGATGTAATCTGGAAATCTGATCTACCAGACAACCTTAAATGGAGATTCTTTCAAGCCATTGTAGAGGCAGTGTTAATGTATGATTCTACTGCTTAGACATAAAACTAAAACCCTAGAGTGTAAGCTTGATGGGACTTACATTTGGATGCTGAGAGCTATACTTAACTTTTCTTGAATTCAACATCCAACTAAATTGCAGCTCTATGGACCCATCCCTGATATTTCTACAATCTTTTATGAACACAATCTGCTTTTCAAGACACTGCTGGCAAGTGAGTGATCTACTCTTCTGGACACCTAGCCATGGCGCAAGATGTGTTGGTCGCCTA